CAACATCAAATAAAGCTCTCAGAAAGTAATCAGTAGATGCACATTTGTCTTTTTTAGTCACCAAAGTTCAAGTCACTACAACTTATCAACCATAGCAAATGCAAAAACGGGCAAAACTCAGCCAGTTTCACAGATTATAAGCTGAAATCTGGATCACAACCTCCGAGTGCCAACGCATGTCGCCGTGCAAAGCGGCAAACAACATGGTTGTATTGCTTCGTTTTACATTCTGGCTTTTTGGAGACAGGATTGTATGTATGACTCTTGTACTGAATTAAACTGTAAAATTATTAAAAAGTGCCACAGATAGTCATTTGTTTAATTTATTATAAAGAATGGATGCTAATATTGAAAAATAAATACAATTTTAAGTGTATTTAAGCTTGTTTATATTAATCAAGAAGTGATGAATATTAAAAAAAGGAAAATGAGACATTTATTAGAGCTCAGCCCCTTTCACTGTTTTGTACAAACATTTTCCATCTAAAAGGAGAATGAACTGCTTAAGTGGAAGCGTTCAATACAGCCCATCTATTATGGATGTGGCTGGACACCACGCAGTTTATTTCTATAATTCATGATCCGAAAGAACGGCAGTCCTTGTGTGCCAGCGGCTTCCCCTCTCACACTGACTGTAAGTGCTTATCACAGCTGACTGTGCAGTTTTTCCACAGCAAACACACACACACACATGGACAAGTCGTTGTCTGAGGAAGCTGTGTGCAGAGAAACATGCAGAGTTACAGGTTAGACAAGTGGAACCGATCTTACCTTTACCGTAAATGATCTGATTGTTAGCTCTTTAGCGACTCAAAACAGAATTGTATTGATTCTGCTGCTGGCTCCATCACACGATGAGCAGCACGAGAAAATAAACTGAACTTCTGCACCAAGCCGTCATCTGTTTCAAGCCATTCTACTCAAATGGGCACTCGGTAACAAACAGATGCACACGTAACAATATGCAGTGATGAACTGTGTGCATTGCACGTCATCACTTCAGCTGACAGAGGACTAAAACACACGACACGCTTACTGTTGAAGACCTGTATGATAGATGTACAGAAGATGAGCACGACAGATTTCCTAATCAATCACGCACACAAGCTTGCATGCTGGAAACTGCAGAAAGAGGGGTGGGCAAGTGGGAGAGGAACAGGCTTACCTTCTACAGGGAGGAAAAGAATGGAGAAGGAAGGTAAAGAAAAAGAAGAATAACCAGGAGTTATACTCAGAAACAAAAAACCAAAGTGGACACAGAAAAGCAAAGAGTAAAATGCAGGCCAGAGGGAGAGTTTGTGTGAAGTTAGACCTTTTTAAAGTTTTTTTTTTAGGGAGTGCAACATTAACACAATCATCTGTATGTGTGATGGAGGTTTTACCTTATTGGCCCAGGCGTCTTCATCCCACGTGGTGAGCTGTAGGACTCTGATGATCTCGATGATTTCAGCGCTCATCTTTTCAAAGGTGAACTTTCTGTTCCTCTCTGCCTCCTCCACCCCGGCTCCTCGGCCGCTCTTTGTCGCAACAAAAATCTTTATAGCTGAAATAATGAGATTTGTCCAATTAGGATTACAGTCGAGTAGAAATGTTGCAGAAGATATTCACTTAAACGGACATTTTATTTTAAAATCCCCAACATTAAAAAATCACATTTTTATTTATAAAACACATGGTCCGATGAGGCTGTAAAGCAGGGATGTCAAATCCACTTACAAAAGGGGGCCAAAATTAAAACCTTTTTCAAACTAAGGGCCGGTTTCAGAATCTACATTAACTCAAGTCAGATACCCAACATCTTTTCTTGGTCGCAGGTTCCTCACCAAGAGTTCGATTGGCCTCATTTGACGTTCTTTGTCGCACTTTTAACATAATAATCAAAGATTACTGAAAAAAATTAAAGTGATAAAAGTATTTTTCATTTAGCATATCATCTTGGGGGCCAGAAAAGATATCACCGAGGGCCACATATGGCCCCCGAGCCTTGAGTTTGACACATATGCTGTAAAGGAACCTCAGGACTAGGTTTTAAACAGTAACTAAGAACATTAAATGATTAAATGTGTCTTTATTTACTCATGCAATAAGGCCACACAGTACAATGTGACTTTTTAAATTGAAATATAGATTACCGTATTTTTCGGACTGTAAGGCACACTTAAAATCCTTTAATTTTCTTAAAAATCAACCGTGAGCCTTATAATCTGGTGCGCCTTATGTATTAATTCTGGTTGTGCTTACTGACCTCAAACAGATTTTATGTGGTAAACGGCGCTCAAAAATCTGTTAAAATGATCTTGTTTCGCTTAATGCGCCTTAGAATCCGCTGCGCCATATAGTCCGAAAAATACGGTAATTACAAAATGGATATGAAACGGATAGATACGTTTGCAAAATGAATAATTTTCAAGTGGAAATTAATAATAGAAACTAACATATTGTTTTGCTGCAACATTTTCAGAGATGTGTCAAGTTATCCTTCATTCTCGTTATATTTTGCACGCTGCATTCTATAAATAACGGCTTTAAAAGACTTTCAGAATCCTTGCAGAATTGTTTTACAAGACCACCGTAAAAGATTTCAAGAAAGTAAAGTTCAGTGTTTTTTTTTGTGCCAGGGCAGAGCATTGTATGAAAGCAGAGCTCCAAGTGGGCGATGCATCGTCAGCCTCACATCCCCAGCACCTAATGACTGTAATTATCAGCGTTACTATGACAACCATTGGATGCTCCACAGCTAGCTCCTCGTTTTATCCACACGAAGTCACACTCATGCACCTGAGATAAGAACGGGCAGCAGCTCCTTGATGGTGTTCATGGAGTTGACGAGCATCTGCCTGTGCTCCTGGTGCGTCAGCTCCTGCTGCCTCTCCTCAATCATCTTTGACATTTTCGTCATCCCTGGAGAAAACGGAGAAAAACAGGGAGATTTTTAAAACTAATGAAACTGCGCAAAACGTTAATGGCTTTAGTTCTGACACCGGGTGTAGAAACATGGATTTACATTGATTCAAGCATCGCTGCTTCACAAACTGAGCTCGTACTATGCTTGCACCGCTGGCATGGAAAGAGATTTTCCCATGCTTACAGTGTACTGAAAATCTAATTAACTTGATGATGGTAAATAGACTGTTTGTGGTCTGAAGACCAGTGAAAGGATCCAGTCACATGTCAAGGTCAAGGAAGCAGTCACTGCTTATTTTACTTTTTCATGAAAACCTATTTTAAACCCAAAGAAGTGAAGCGCTTTTAAAAAGCCAAATCTATTCAACTAACTCAACTCACAAACAAATGTGTATTTTAAAAATTCATATTTATTTGTACAGTATTGCATTTATTTTTAATTTTAAGCACCAACTGATTCGTTGTGACCTTTGTTAATTCTAAGAGAAAAATCTTCCCCATGATGGAATAATGTGTTTCTTTTGAGTGAACTTGCATGAAATATTTGGCGATTGGTTATTTTTAGTTTGGATGCCCTTCCTGAAGCAACCTGGACCTCAAAATTACAAGACACACTTACACCAATAATAACGAGATTAAATTGTATTTTTTTTTAACCAGTAGTTCAAATTGCGTTAAGATAAACGTTATAACGTGGGATAATTTTTGGCTTTGTCAAGTTCAAAAGCACTAAATAGTTATTCGCATAAACAACTCTCACTGCGGAATATTTTTTTACTACACAAAAAAAACTTGACACAAAGCTAAAGCAAACTGTTGTACTTCTTTAAAATTAATGTCTAAAGAATCACATATCAAAATGTTTGTGTTGATCAGGAATTGTGTATTATGACTGAGTATTTTGAATTTTTATTAATTTTTTAAATTATTTACCTTTATTTCTTAAAAAGTTCCCCATATTGGGATCTCTTCAGTCCTTTTCAAAATGATTCTCTCTGAAATTTACTTCAACGCAACTCCTTTATTTGTCTGTTTTGAGGCTTCCTTTTAACTTTTATCTTCTGTTTTGGTGGTTTTAGCTTTTAGTCACAGTTTTGCCACATTCAGGGTTTAGCAACTGTTTTGTTACTTTTTGTTTTTAGCTAATGCTTTGCTCATTTTAGCTACTTTTTGTTATAACTTTTAGCTACAAATTGCTTTTTTTACTTAGTCACTTTTTAGCTTTAGTAAACCTCTTTTGATAGTTTTAGCTTTTAGCTACAATGTTACAAAATCAGATTTTATCGATGATTTTGCTCATTTTAGCTTGATTTAGTCAAGTTAGGCTTTTAGCAGTTTGGGTCATTTTAGATTAATTTTATGGTTTTTCTAATTTTTCATTAATGTTTTATTGATTTTTATTGATTTTCTGCTTGTTTTAATTTTAACAATTCAGCTAATTCATTTTTCAACAACATTTTCCCCAAAGCATTCAGCTCTCACAAATCATTTTCATAGAAAATGAAAACAGTACGTCACATCTCTGTTTGCACCAGGGGCGATTCTAGAATCTGCCCTGTGGGGGTGCTTAGCCCCCAGCGCTGACAATGGCTATTGCATTGAACAATGTGCATGGTGGCCATTAGTGTCAAAAGCATTCATAAAGTGCGGGGGATGGGGGGGTCTGGGGGTCCTTCCCCAGAAAATTTTGAATCAAGTAGATGCCATTTCCTGCATTCTGGTGTATTTTAACTGGTGGTTTAAAAAACCAAAAAAATCCAGAACCACCCAAAAATAAAAGGTTTTTTGGAGTGCGGTTTATTTTATTTTTTTAAATTTCACTTTATTTTTCAGGGGTGCTCAGTTAAAATTTAGGGGTGCTTGAGCACCCCCCAAAAGAGGCTAAAATCATCACTGGTTTGCACTATGAGATCTCTAATTAATATACTTGCAGAGGTCATTTGCAACATATTTTTTACAGTTCCACTCCTTTTTCATCTGAAACTTTATGCATAAAGTAGAATTGCTGAAAGCTGCACAGTTTTCTTGTATAAAAGCAGTAAAACATATTTGCAACCAAAGTTAGAATGGTTGACTTGTGATTCTCACTTTAAATAAACATGCGTGAGATATAACTCTGATATTGACACAACTTTTTTTTTTCTGTCTTGTTTTAAAGAAAGCACGTGGGCTGACCTGGGCCGAGGTTTTTGGTGTAAGTGATGAGGTCCTCCATGGTCTCCACCACTTCAGCTACCGTCAAATACTCTAGGATACCTTTACACACACGAATTATCTTACGCACCTGGAACACAACGCAACCACACAGGAAATCAGAGGCATACAAATGAATCAGTAATGGGAAGTGGTGTGTAATTTTATCCAAAGAACAGCATTTATCGTGTGGTTCAGCTGTTATTTTATCATACTTTGGTTTTTCAGCTGTTTGTGTAGTTTCTTTCTCTGTGTGCGTGTCTTGTGATGCTCATCTTGTGACAGAGAAAAGTTTAAAAATGAGGCTGGTGATGAGACGAGAGGACGGCTTTAATCACGTGCACACTGTGAATCCACTTATGGAGCTGCCATCAAACCTTCGCACACACATACACACGCACATTCTGAGTTACGACAGCGGGAGGTCATTTGATCTCTGTGATTAGATCTAGCTGCATTTGAGCCTCCATTAGAGCTCCAAGAGCTCTTCCTTCCTCTGTGCAGCTGCTATATATAAAGCATGATTTCCCTGAAAGATACCAAACCACCACTGAAGTGAAAGTGAGCATAAAGACTCAGTACAAGGAGGAAAGCACACACCTCTGCTTCATCAAAGGTAAGGAGCAGATCGGACGTTCCAGACAGTATCCCTCTGGATCCATCGATCAGGTAGTCCCGGGCAGGAACGGAGTATGGATCTGCTTTGAGCATCTGAGCCGCTTGGACGAGCTTCGAGCTGGAGTTCTCCACCCTGAAAACACACAGCTGGCTTAGGAGACCTCACCCAACAGGTGCACCATCTGGAGCTACAACAAAAATCAATGTGCAAAGCAAAAACAGACTAATCTACAGCCAAGATGTAAAGCTTTCAAGTTTTATAAACTTATTTCATGAAGTCTGCTGCTTTTGAAAAGCTCATTCTGCAAAATTTCGGACAGAAGGACATTTTCTAACAATCCATTCTGCAAAATCTCCAATTTAGAGAGAGAGGGGGAAAAAAAATACAAAAAAAAGGACTAATTTTAAACTTTAATTTTGCACATAACTTGTTTCAGTGATTAACCAGAGGTGACAAATTTTAAGAGGATTTAAATAAAGCTAAATCCCTCCTCTTTCTGACCCCACTGGTCAAGGTATCAATGGCTGATGGCTCATCTATATTTAGTTAGGTTCGCATTCCCACATGCCCCTCCTAAGCCGAGCGAATGAGATTTATGGTGCAGTAGCCCGTGTCATGCATGGGCAAAGTGCAAGAAGGGGGGTGTGTGGACCACAACAAGACATGAATCATTTTTGGGAATGGGTAAAATAAATTATAAACTGATGAACAAGTGCGACAACAAGCTGCAACCAGAACGTTCCAGTAAAGGCTTATAGGGCATATGCACAAACACAAAACTTGCAACAAGGAATCATAGTCTGAAGTCTGAGGACCAGGACTTGTGAGCAGCACTCAGCCTGGGTTCATGTCAGCTCTTTGGACGCAAGCTGGAAAACAACTAGCAACCTCTGTTGTTGTTGTATGGAGGACGGAATGTGACTAAATTAAATAAATAAATACATATTAATGAAATATATCATTTAAATATTAAATACATCATTAAATCATTATTAAATATACAATTTAATTATTTGTTTCGTGATTTATTTATTTATGTAATTTTGTCACATTCCACCCTCGTGTGACACGATGCTGTCAGTCTCACTCGTCAAATTCAGTGGGCGGGACTAACGCTGATCATGTGAAATCCATTGCTTTGGTCTGAAGTCAGTTCATACATGGCAGCTCCCTCCATGCAGGACCTTTATTTGCTCTCTCGTGAACTGGTCAGATATTTTAAGCCAAAGCGCGTCTTCTTCTTTACATTCATGGTATGAAAGAAAAGTTTCATCCAAATACACGTAAACACAATTACCGCTTCCTAAAGTTTCGGAATATATTTTCTAGCCTGTTGATCAATCCATTATCTGTGGTCGATTTGTTTTTGCTTGCAGTGAGGAGCAGCCAATCAGGCGTCAGGGTCTGTTCACGAACCGCCCTAGTCCCGCCCACTGAGTTTGACGAGTGAGACCGACAGTTAACATAATGTCATGGTGTTACTGGAGGACGGAAGGTGACAAAATTAAATAAATAAATTAACCATGAAATAAATAATTTAAAAGGTACATTTCATTAATTGTTATGTTTGTATTTATTTATTTAATTTTGTCACATTCCATCCTCCATACTGTCGGGATGCTGGAGCCGGACGTAAAGAAGTGGCTCTTTGTCGTAGCTGAGAACAAAGCCACGCTTCCTGACTTGAATTTGTGTTTTTAACAAGTTCTCTGTCCGCTGAGATAAAGTGGATCCCATCCAGAGAGACAGCAGAGGCCTTCGTTTTAAATCACAGAGGATCAGCAGCAGACTTACTTAATGAACGCAGGAGGCATGTCTCTCTTCATCACCTGGTCCTCTGTGGTTTGAACCGTTTCCTTCCCCACCTGTAACACATTTTATTTTCATTAGCTGCTGTGCTGACAAAAGCACTATTAATAGTCTGATGGGTGAACGAGTGTGTATCAATTTACACCTATGTCAACCATGCATGCATGAAATGTCTCATGAGCTGAGCGCAGCCCAGGTTCTGGCTGTTGTTACATGAAACAAGAAAATGATATAACTTCAAAATCATTATTTCGGTTTACAGTAATATAAATGATAAAAATCTAATTTAAAGTCAGGTGTATAATATTCAGGACTAATGAATTGTTTGCTTTTTGATGCCGAACATAAAAAACCAGACAGGCACACACTTTAATATTCAGTTCAGTGCAGAAAGTTCAACGTTTGCAAACACAAAAAACGTCCTACGCACACAAGCATGCCCCTGCCCACACAGACAAACACACACTCCTTTGACAAGAGACATTTTTCATCTTTTGCACAAAACATGTCCATCACAGCAAACCAAGTTGTGACCCAGTAAAAGCCAAATAAACTTGGGCGGTTCAGCATTTTGGTTTTCAAAAAGTGTCTGCTTTAAAGACCACAAAACACATCTGTGCACACACACTCAGCACACACACCCAGACACGAGCTTGAAACGCAATTACAGCAACATGATGACATCCAGTTCTTCCTGCTGCATCAGTGAAATCTGGTTAATAGACTTTCTGACGCCAGAGATTCAGGGAAACAGCATCACTCCAACCATTTCCCCCCTTCGTGTGTGAATTCTCTTTTATGCTTTATCGTTTTATCTTTCAGTATTTCTATATTTTCTTTTTCTGGGCAGATATTATTTCACTCAGTGGTTTGTTGATCTGTGAAAAGCAGCACAAAAATCACTGCGGTCTAAGAACATCTATCGGTTTCTATTTTTATCACGACTTTGAGGGTGTCAGCAAGGATGAAAAGAAAAAAGAAGCATCAGTTTGAAGGAAAAACCACAAATAGGCCAAAACATGACCGTAAATCAAAAAGAGCTTCCACACATTCACAATGCGTGTTTCAGAGTCACAAAGAGCTTTTCAAGAACGATCAGTAAATGTCCATGAGGTTTCAAAAGCAGTTATCGATTTATTGCATAAAATGTTTGATAATTAAAAGAAAGACATTAGATTGTCATTTTATTCTATGTAATTGTGTAAACGCTGATTCAGATTTTTTCCTTTAATTTTTTCCTGTGTTTAAAAGAAACAAAACAATAGAACTGTTCATAAATCAAAACATTTAGCTCATTCAGGAGAGTGATGTGACCCTGTTTTTTTTTATTATTATACTTTATTTGCAAGTATTCTCTTTGAGATCTGCTTCAGCAGCCTTGTTCTATATTTTCGTCTTCTTATGCTACTTTTAGCTTTTAGCTACTGTTCTGCTACTTTTAACTTTGAGCTAATCTTTAGTTACCACTTAATTTTTAGCTTCTTTTTTTTTTTTTTGCTACTTTTATCCACCTTTCAGCTACTTTTAGCTTCTAGCTAGTATTTTTTTTTTTTGCAAGAAGCTTGCCTGACTTTTGTCTCTTTTTCTTCTTCTTCTTCTTCTTTCGGCTGCTCCCTTCATCAGGGGTCACCACAGTGAACTAAGTCGCACAAAGACTTGGCAATTATTTTTACGCCGGATGCCCTTCCTGGCGCAACCACAGACCACCGAGCTACCACAGCCCTTTGGAGCAGAGAGCTGCTATCTGCACCAGGGGGGGGCAGATTGTGGGGGGAGGGGGGTGTTAAGGGCCTTTCTCAAGGGCCCAGAGTGGGGCAAATGAGGGAGGCAGGTGTGGGTGCTTCACCAATCCCACCCACATTTTGATGTTGTCGATATCGGGAGTTGAACCAGCGATCTTCCGATTACAGGCCCACCTTCTCTAACCTCTGCACCACAACTCCCAATTTTTATCTCCTTATGCTACTTTCTGATTTAGCTACCATTTTGCTATTTTTAGCTTTTAACTAACTTTGCAGTAATTTTTGCTACCGTTCTGCTACTTTTAAGTTTTAGCTGAACTTTTGTTTTTTTTAAGCCAACAATTTGCTACTTTTAGCTTATCCTTTGCCACTTTAGTCTTTAGTCTTTTCTACTTTAGCTACCCTTTTGTTTCTTTTAGCTTATAGTGTTCTTATCCTTTTAGTTTTAACCACTCAGTTTCATCCTCTTCAGCAGAATTCAGTAAAGGTCTTCATCATTCACGCTGCCTTTTCATTGAAAAATACATATATATACCTTTACTTCTACCTCCCATCAAAACGACATACGCTGCAGTTTACCCACAATGCATCAGTCATAAGCTTCAAATATTAAAAAAATACTAAACATTCTGGCCATCAAAAATGATCATTTGCTAAAAGCAACAGGATCCCTTCACGAGCCCATGCATTAAAAAGTGATTTTGCAGAAACCATCTATTAGTTTATGAATTAGATGGTTTACAAACAAGACTAAAATGTGACAACATACACAAAAACAAGCCCTTTGTTTTAATTCGAGTTATTTATCATTTAAAATCCAACTCTTCTGTGCTAAATGTTGCCAAATATTTAAAAAGCTTTCACAAATGATGGATGTTTACTTTTTTCCACCTGTGCCGTGTTAAAGTTTTATGCTTTTACAAAGTTAAACATGAATCTGGTGAAACCTACGAAAGTTCTCGGCAATCTTTTTAAGTAAAAACAAAAATGCATGTAGCTTCCAAATTGAGGAATGCAGCCCAACAAGCGGAGCTCGGCCTGAAAAACCTTCGTAAAAACCCGTTTCCTGGAAGCAGCAACGCTTGATATCGATCTTGTGATTTATTATTCATGTGCAGTGAAGTGGTTTGTGAGATGCTCGGAGTTGAGTTGTGCAGCAGACTGATCGCAGCCAACGCCACATTTCATCTCACCTGAGAATCCACATTAACCATGGGGCAGTGTTGCACGGTAAAATCATCCATGTGTTCCCTCATGCTGTGGTAAATTTAGACCTTTGTAGATTTAAAGTCCTAAAACTTTAAGTATCAAAGCCAACTTAGTTCTAGGAAGCATCTTATAATGTTATTTTGGTCTTATTTTAATTTTTCCAGAATTACATTTTATATCGATCGGTTTCAAATTAACACCTTTCTTGCACATATGGAGACAATTTGTTTATTATTTTACATAATATAACTTTGACACAAACTTTAAATCTAATTTGCTGTAATTTTGTTCAATTTTGCCAACTGACTTCATTGTTAAGTAAAATGAACAAAAAAAAAAAAACCACTAGAACATGTTTTTTTTTTAGTTTTCTAATAGTTTTTTTCTAGTTTATTTTGATTTAAATTCCCTCATGAAATATTTTAATTGAAACCTGTCTCTGTTTTTCCCGTTCTGAAACAACAGATTCAGTGAAACTCAGGCTAAGACTTTTTGTCTGAGCTCAAAACTTGGTAAAATAGAAAAGTTGCAAAGCCTGTTTTGAACAAAGTGTGAAATAGTTTTATTTCAGCCTGTTTTTTTTTCTGCTGCAAAGAAAGCTGATGAACTCCATCAGACTGGGACAAAAAAGTGATATAAGATAATAAAATGTCTGATGTGAAAAAAGGAATTTGCATTTTTCTTTGTTCACATTAATGCTTGTTTTTTCCTTCTTCTTTCGACTGCTCCCTTATTTGGGGTCACAACGAACTAACTCGCATGAAGACTTGGTAACTGTTTTCAATAACGTCTAAATAAAGGTTGAATGAAAAAAATATATATAATATGTGTTGTCATCATTGTATGTTCCCATACAATGGTGACGCTGGCTCTCTGCATTTAGCCAATCGTGCCTGGGATGCGCTCGGGTGGGGCGGTGGGTGGTTGTTGGGGGTGAGGCGTCCTGCTCAGGGACACCATTAGATGACTGGGGATTGAACCCGGGACTTTTGAGTCCTGAGTCAGCTGCCCTGCCTCTACACCATCTCGGCCCCCTTATGCTGAATGCCCTTCCCGACACAACCATTGAGCAACCACAGCCCTCTGTGTGGAGCTGGGAACCGCCATCTAGGGTGCCCAGAGGAGCAGATGGTGGGGGTTAAGAGCTTTGCTTAAGGGCCCAGAGTGGGGCAAATGAGGGTGGAGGGAGGCAGGTGTGGGTGCTTCACCTTTCCCACATTTTGATGATGTCAGTATGGAGTTGAACCGGTGACCTTCTCTAACCTCTGTGCCACCACTCCCCGCTTTATTTGCATGTATGACATACAAACATGTCATCATGACAAAAAAACGTATGACCCTCTTTACTTTGCACTCTGTCTGTTTATTAGTTACTACCTGGAGCTTTAAATGGAAAACAATTGGACTCAGAGAATAAGTTAATGGTTCAGCTTCCAGTCTATCCATGAAGTTAGAAAAGACTGAAAGGAGACGAACTCATCTCTGGTCAGCTGAGCTGTCGATGTGCAGGATGAAAACCGCAGGTTTAAAATGGTCAGAGACAAGTTTCCCTCCTTGTAGGGAGCTGATGTTTATCACAAAGTTCCAGTGTCTTCTCCTGGGTGGGTCCCCCCTCTTCTCAACACGCTCTGCATCTCGCCTCTCAGGCTGTTTTAGTCGACAGTCTCACTCCTCACATGCCTCCGCTCCCTCTCTGCTGTGCTCCGTCAGTGTGCGGTTACTCCACTTAATGCTAAATCTATTTATTCCTCCTCCACTCCTCCCCCTCTGAAGACACACTCGGAGGGTCTACGTCGACTCCGTCAGGAGCAGACTCTTCACTTTTACCACTCCGTCATCAGCGGGACTTGAGGAAGCTCCATCGCACCACGCAGCATGTGTCACATCTTCAGCTGAATTTGCATCAGCCCACGCACATCTTCAGAAGGATCAAGGCCGACACCGTCTTGAGTTTGTGACCTAGATCTCAAGTGGCCTCCTCCGCAGCGAGCCCACCCTGGATGGCGTTGACTGTGTAACTGTATCACGGTGCGCTGGGACTCTTGCGGTGACGGTGGCACGTTGCTCCACATCGCTCTCTGTTAACTAGAAGTGAATCATCTTTCTAAAACAGAGCACAAGAACTGCATGGGTTCGAGCTTTCGGCGTTCTTTACATCCAGTTCAGTTTATCTACCCAGCAACTGGAGTCGCAGCAAAGCTCTGAGGCTCGTTTAACAACATCTCGTCAGCCACTTGTTCTCGCTTGCTTCTCTGTCAGCAAACAGTTTCCCCCTCTTCTGCCAAGAGCTACTATTAAGTGTCTGAGAATACATCCAGCATTGATTCTCAACAATATCCAAGTAATTCTCAAAGATACTGGACTTCAGAATGAACATTTTCACCTCTGTTGTGATTTATATACATATAGCTGCCTCATGCCGTCCTAATATCTTTCTGCTTTCTCGTTAAACTCCCTGCTCGCTCCTTGCAGCTTCATATCCTCGTGGTGGGATGCTCAGTGATGGCCCAGCTGTTAGCCTCCATATGCTCACCATCTGGATGGAGCGTGTCCAAACCAGCAGACAAAGAAAGGACAGGCATCATGGTGGCAATGACCACCCTTATATTTTTTATTAGCTAGACTTCTTAGATTTTGTCTCAGTCTCTCCCCGTTCTGAGCTTTTGTTTGGAGTGGATTTTTAAATTCCCCTAAATATTGTGAATTAATAGAACTTCGTGAATACAAAAAAAAAAAAAAAAAAAAGGTTTTGAACTTTAAATAAATAAATAAAATTAAAAGCTTGTGTCCCTCCATCCATCCATCCATTTTCTTTACCCGCTTATTCCATTTTGGGTCACGGGGGTCGCTGGTGCCCATGTCCAGCAATCACTGTGCGAGGGGCGGGGTACACCCTGGACGGGTCGCAAGTCCATCACAGGGCATGAAGGCGACAGTGGAAAGAAAAACTCCCTCATGAGGAAGAAACCTTTAGCAGAACCAAAGTGGCCATCTGCTTCGACCGACTGGGTTTGAGAGGAACAGATACACAATGGCAGGTCAAGAATCACATGTTACGATAGAAATAATATCAAATGAAAACTATTCAATTTTGGCAAATAATTTAAATAAATTAGATCAATTTGTCCTCAGTAGTCTAAGCATATAGCAGCATAACAAGCCAACCCTAACTATAGGATTTATCAAAAAGGAAAGTTTTAAGTCCAGTCTTAAAACTGGACAATGTGTCAGCCTCACAGACAGAAACTGGAAGTTGGTTCCACAAGAGAGGAGCCTGATAACTGAAAGATCTTCCTCCCATTCTGCTTTTGGAAACTCTTGTTTTGTTTCCTAAACGAAGTTTGAGAATCGAGCGATTTGGTTTGACTTAATTAATAAGTTGTAATTTAAAGATGTATTTTAATTGACGCGTGCAGAGAAATATTTTAGACTGCAATAAACTAAAATCAGCTCAAATATTTGCCACAGATCACAATTTAACAAGTCATTATGTTCAAAAGTTGTCCTTCTAAGAGACCAGATTAAATCAATCTAAGGATATAAAAAACCTACAAGGAGATACCTTTCATCATGTTCTTCGTTCATTCTTCCTCTACTTTATTATAAGTGATATTTACTTTTGTCTGCAGCTGAATTCTCCTGAGCGAGTGAAGCTCAGTCCCTGAATCGATGCCAACAACTCGGATCAGCATCAACGATGCGGTCCGCACTGATTTTTCCAGGCAGCGCACACAGAAAAAACATCAATACCTGACTGACACCAGGCTGTTAGAGCTCAAAAAGACCTATTAGACTCAATTACAGATGAGATGGGAGGCCAAAATGAAAAATTAAGTGATTACACAGCATAAGTAACAACAAGGAGGTGAGTTTTTAGTTTAAGTAAAAAGGAGGAAATAGATAACTAAATGCCTAGAAGGAAGAATCTGTCCACTTTTTGTGATTTATTTACCTGGATGATTGACCATGAGGACTTATATGTTTAAAATCATCTTATTTTGACGAATGAGCTGAGTCATTTTGGTCAAAACTGTAAAATAAAACATTTTTGGCAACGTTGCATGCTCAGACTATGTGTTACAACCACACCAGATTTGAGTTCAACATCTGTAAAAGTGACTGAATCAGAGCCACCATTTTTACGTTTTCTGTGGCGGCATTCTTTATGTCAGTTCCCTCTAAAGTAATTCAATTTCAAATATTGACCAATTATTAGTTCCTGAAAGTTTCATTAAAACTCAGCGGTTCAGGCAGAATTGAATCCAATTAGTGACAAAACTTAAAACAATGATATTGTGCAATCTCTTAGTGCTCTGAAAGTGTATTAGCCTCAGCTACTACCACACCAAATTTTAATTCAGTATTTCAATAACTGATTAAAAATATGTGTTTTTTAAACTCAGTTGGCTGTTGAATGGGGTTGACTTCAAAAGTTAATCAGTTCTAGATATAATGATAACCTTCAGCAAGTTTCATTAAAATCCGACCTGTGGTTCCTGAGATATTATGCTAACAGACACACAGTCCCCCTGAGACACATTTTGTTTTGGCACATGCACACAGTCCTCCATCCTCCTAACTCAACCAGCAGAACTCGTTCCCATGAGCTCAGCTGCACCTGACTCGGGCTAAAGTTTGACATGTCATCCTGCAGAGTCGTGCATGCGCCCTGAGGGACCCCCCAGAAACTGGAACCGCAGGGGGCCCCATCGGGCGTCAGCTGGGTGCTGGACAGCTTTCAAATCATTTAGTCAAGCCCAAGTTGAGCCTCAGTGGTGAAGAGTTGCTTTGGCGCAGAGCACTTTCTGATCTCCTCGTGATTTAAAACACTCCGTGGACCGTGGACGTGTCCGACCTTCCACTGAGTCTCCAGGTTGGAAGTTTTCATGACAGAGATTCGCACGCACGGCGCAGAAACTCACCCGGACAAGGTTGCTGACAGCCGCCTGCACCGCGGCCACCGGCACCGACAGATCCGGGATGGCTTTCCCGTCCACCTCCCCCTCCTCGTGCATGATGACCAGGTGGGAGATCTGCTGGGCCACCGGCTCCAGGATGCTCTCGATGGTCTTGGTGTGGAACACCGGCATCTTGAACCACTTCCACCGCAGCCCTGATTAGAAAAAAAAAAGATGGATCTCTCCTCTCCTCCTCGCGGAGACAAAACCCGAGTCCCTCTCCGCCCCGGCGGCCACCGTCTCCTCTCTTCACCTCCTCTGGAAAGCCTGGGCTCAGGCGGTCGGTGTCCTCCGGTGGGAGCGACCCAAATCGTGACAGAAGGAATCACCGCCCTCCGCCCAATCACCGCGCGCGAGCCGCTCTGTGCGCGCTGACGCTGCGCGCCGAGAGCTCTTCTAATGACGTCATACACGCCAGTGCCCCCCACCACCCCCCAAAAGGAAAGTGTTGGGGTACTCAAAACAACGTCATGCAGAATGCTTACAATAATAATAATAATAATAATAATAATAATAAATTCATGATTTTTTTTTTCATATTGATGTTGGTGTGTTCTTTGTGGCATGCTGCCAACCATGCGTGTTTGTTTACCTCCAGAAACAGCCAAAGTGGCTGAAAATATGTGGAAAAAACCATTTGGGTTCTAGAAGTCTGACAATTTTCATTTAGTATGTAGATAAAAACACATGTTGGTAAAATCAGTGGTCTTGAAAAAGCTTTGCAAAAGCTTATGGCTCTTTTCCTTCCATGATATTTGTTTCTTATCTTAATTGTTCCTTCTCTTTTCCAGAGATTCTGCGTTAGTTTGCCTGCACAGCCTACGACCAGCCTCATGTAGGTCAGTCACGTCACGTGAGTGAAGCTTCCTTGTAGTTTTTGGCAAATTTAGACACGTTTTGTTTACATTGAGTGCGTACCTGCATTTGAGAATTGCATACAAATAAATCTGTAAGAGTAAACTCTTTCAACCTGCACCATTCGATAAAGTTCAGGATAACCTTTTTTATGTTTGATCTTATTGTTTGTATGACTTTAATGACTTAATGGGAAATTACCAATATTCAGTTTGAGAAATTAGGAGGAGAAACATCTACTAAAGGTTGAAGCTGCTTCCTGCAGGCTCAAGTCATCTCCACATCTGTACAAGTGTGAAAAGAGCCAAATCTGAACCGTAAGAAAAACTTGATGCTTTTTTGTTTGTTTGTTTGTTTGAGGCGTTAAACCTCCATGACACATGAGCTGTGTTCATTAAAAGGTGGGTCAGGAGTTCATGTCTCCAGGCCTCAATGTGCAGCTCTAAATAAAGACCAAGGATTCAGCTTGCTGCTGGCTGTAGCTGAAAGGAGTCTTAAAGATCACCACACTGTCACCCTTCTGCTCTGTAAGATCTCTTCTTTGACTCTGAAGATAACGTGTGTTTGTCGGATGCCTCAACACTCGCCTGACAAGCTTAGCTTGAACCAGGATGTGCATAAAAGTGAAAGAAAGTCTTTTTATTTTTGTAACAAAGACTTTCCATTCCTTGGAGGAATGCATATTTCTTGCTGCTTTTTGATCATCTTATGCTGAGATCCAATAGAGTTGTAACTGTTTTGGTCAAACCTTGAAAAAACCCATTAGGCTCAGTTTTATGCAATATTGTGAGATGTCACACTCAGAGCATGTTGTGAATTATTCTCATCTGCTGCCACTTCAAGTCTAGCTCATTATCTGTACAACTGACTGAGCTGCAGCTACAGCTTTCTTGTTAGTAGGCCGTCTTATTTTGGGTTGGCTACACAATGATTATCATTTGTTGTTGTTCTTTTTCTTCTTCTTCTTGTTCTTCTTGTTCTTGCTCTTGTTCATGTGGCTGTTGTAACGTCAAGGCCAGACTGGCGTTGAGTTTTGCTTCCACAGAGACACTGGACACTTGGAGAATTGTGTGAAACTGCGGGGATTAAAGAAAGTTTTATACACCGTTTCTGATCAGCGAGAACTACAATACAACAAGCTCCTCATGTGAATATTTTATTTTAAGCTTGTCCTGATCACCTTTTTTTTAAACACTGTTGTGTTAACTTATTGTGTAAATAAAGTTTTGTTAAAAATCAAATCAAAATCTTGTTCTTGTTCTCCTTCCTTCCTTCCTTCCTTCCTTCCTTCCTTCCTTGGTTTTTCATTATTTGTAAATCATAATCATCAACATAACAAGAAATAAAGACTTGAAATCAAGTCAAGTTTCTTATTGTCATATTGTGAAGTATTTCATTATGTGTAATGAATCTATGTGTTTCACTTTCTGAAATGATTGACAATGTTTTTTTTCTTCATGATATTCTATTTTTTTTAGATGCACCTGTTTGTTTTTGGGATCAGTCTCAGCTATTATCACACCAAAGTCCATTATCTGTAAAATTCACTGTGATGAAGCCACATTTGTGATTTGTTAAACCACATGGCTGTGGCAGCCATCTTTAATTGGCTTGATACCAAAAGTCAACCAGTAGTGGATGTACATCCAGTGATAAATCTGTGTATTATTCTGGTCTCTTTTGATGTTGCATCACAAAAATCCAGTCCCCTGGCACAAACAGAGTAATATTGTGTATGCTGTTCAGTGTCAGGCGGGTGATCAGTCTTACATCGGGGAAACTAAACAGCCACTGGCCAAAAGGATGGTCCAGCACAGAAGATCAACATCATCAGGCCAGGACTCTGCGGTCTACACTCATCTCCAGGCCAGCCGTCACTCTTTCAGGGATGAAGATGTTCACATCCTGAATAGAAAGGAACGATGGTTTGAGAGAGGAGTAAAGGAGGCCATCTTTGTGAAAAGAAACCGTCCATCAATAAACAGGGGAGTAAGCCTCCGTGTTCAACTGTCCCCCTCTTACAATGCTGTGATTGCTAGTTTGACTCAACCCCCTGTGAATAGCAAGCAGCCATCAGATCACTAACGCAGTTATTAGGCTGATGGTCCACCTTTTGCATGTGAACACATTTGTCTGTCAGCAGCAAACTGGTTGATCCACTATGAGAAGGTGCTGCTTATAAGACAGAGTTTGTTGCAGCTCCTCAGACTGAAGAAGTCATTTGGATAAAAGATGTTTCAACAAAGAAGAATCCATCCAGAGGACCTGACTTAACTTTGTCACATTATTCTGTGAATATTTAATTAAAATGTGTTCAGTGGGTCATGAAATATTTTGCTAACAGACACACAAAACAAAGGCAAAAACATTATCGCCTGCCTTCCAGTTTCTTTTGTGGGTGATAATCAGGTGAACTTCAGTGATATCCACCCTGTTTTCAGTGTGTATCTGGTCTAAGTGTGCGCTGCTTGGCGAGCTGTCCCTGAAACCTGAGTCTGTGTTGAGGAAACCGGAGACCCCAACAGCTATAAGATAATTGTATTTATACCCCCTGATGACCCTAGGGTCCTGTGGCCAAGCAAGCCTCGTCTGTTTATCTGTGTCGTGAGAGAAAACTGCTGTCCAAACCCGACAGACTGGACATTCTGGTCCTCCTACATCCAGTATCAGTCATCGGTTCCTCTTGTTAGGAATTGCCCTTAAAGAGGAGCGAGAGTCGAACTCTCTGCATTTCAAACACCATAAATGGACGGAGGCACAGCAAGAGAAGCATTAAAGTAAACTGGTGTCTGTGAGTAATTAATGGGGTGCACAACACACTCCAACTGGTTCACTGAGTCCTGCCGGGAACTATTAGTGTCCTTGGACCTGTCCAAACAGAATTTGACAGAAAACACGGCAGCAGGATGCTCGGGGAAGTTTCAAACAGCAATTTACTTTTAGTCACGACCAGCTGGAAGTTGGTGGCTCACAATGCAAAAAATTATCCCACAAGATTTAATTTGTTTGATGCAGCTATCCTATAAAATGGTTATTTTCTTGAGTGGGGGGGTGGGGGGTTAGACAGAAAAATGTGAGTCATAGGCTGCCTGACAATATGTAATGCTCAGTCTGCTCCACTGTACAAGATGTTTAGCACAGAGCTGCTTTTATTTGCACTGCATATGGACACGACAACATTCTCTAGATTTTTTTTTCTTCTAAAAGTGACATAAAATACACGGTGGCTCTGTAGGTAGCGGTGTCGCCTTATAGCAAGAAGGCTGCTGGTTCAAATCCCGATCCAGGACATTTCTGAGTGGAGTTTGCACGTTCTGTCCATGCATGCATGGGTTTTCTCAGGGTACTCCAGTTTTTTCCCCCACAGACCAACAACATGCACGTTAGGCTGATTTGTAACTCTAAATTGTCCCTATGTGAGAGAGAGAATGAATGATTGTCTTATTTGTCTCTATGTGTCCCTGTGATGGACTGGAGACCTACAGGGTGTCCCCTGCCTCTCGCACAGTGATAGCTGGACATGGACATGACCCTTGCGACCCAAAAAGGAAAAAGCAAGTAAAGACAATGACTGGACTGACATAAAATATAACCCTTCTTGTACAGGAGCTACTCAGCGTTTGGTGTTTTAGTGCTTTTATTCTTTAATTTTGGGGTAAATTCTGTAACAGGGTACTTTTGGGGGGAGTTTTATTTATGTCAAGCATGCAAACTGACATCAGTATGCTGAAACGAAGAGGAAAAAGGAAAGTGTGGCTTTGAGATTGAGTCTGTCACATTTCAACCAAAAGTTTTACGTGTCAGGGCTGTTACAATTACACAATCTTTAATACGCAGAAAAATAAGCTGCTGTAATAAAACCTCTGACAGAGTTTCTGACGTTTGGCCTAAAAGTTGAAAACATAATAATGCAATTCTTCTGTCCACATGATTGCATTTCTTTTTTTTTTTCATCATTTTTGAGGTCATTGTTGCCTGAAGAATAGCAATGCCAGCACGTTGTTTTAAATCATAATAAAACCAAAAATGGTAATGAACATAACAGCTTAAACTCTGATAAAATCATTTAAATAAATGTGATCATTTGTCTTGCAATATTTGCCCCACGTGAGTTTCATTTCATGATGAGTTTTTATGTAAACCAACAGGTGCATATACATGAATGGATCCAAAGATTTATTACCCATTTGCTCTCTAACGAGGTGCATGCATTTCTTTCCGCTCCCTGTTCTCCTCCTGCTTTTTTGCTCTCTGTCTGTGTATCGGAGCAGCTCCTATTTTTACACATCTGAAATGAAAAGTACTGTTTTGGATCTGACCAACTGGACTTTCGACACAAATGACAAAATCTTTTCAACAAAGCGACAGGGTCCTGGAGAACCCTCATCTGCTCGGACGACACACATGCAGCTGGACGTATCTCTGTGAAGTGGAATGTGATATGTCTACCTCTGCTGTCGATTGAGGACGCCGAAATTGCATATAATTGGAGTTATGATAACAGGTTTCCTGTTTTTGGAATAGTCTGGATCCTGGTTTATCAGCGTACAAAGAAGACGGACGCAGCTAATTTGGACCTCGTCAGGCTGCTGCCTATGTGAAGGTTTGGTTCGTGCTTGGAGGACTCAAAATCAGCAGATTTACGAGCGAAACTGTAAGTTGGAAGTGATTTGAATCGCAGGCCACCTGCGGCTTTGGGACTCGTCAGCATGAAAACGACCTTGAAGAGGCTCATAGGCACGGACCAGTAGAGTGCACCCTAATCTGGCATTTTGGACCTTGGAAGTATCAGTACAGACTCAAAGGCTGACAAGGAAAAATAGTCTGCCTGAATAAGTCAACAATTGTAGCTATCTGAATTTGACTCCTCGGTTGGCCTCGAAACAGGTCGACATCAATTTCTCCTGGGGAATGTGTAAAGTAAGGAAAAGCTTCGTCTCTCCCCACCCTCCACCCCCCCTTCTGTGAAGGCTTATCAGAACTGTGATGGCTGACCATCATCTTACCAGGACAATGGACTATCTGTTAGTGCTTCACGGACCGCCTTGTCATCAAATGCATATGTAACGTGTTCATAAATGTGCTTGGCTGGCAGAGTTTTTTGACGCCTTAAATCGTGTCCTGTTAGGACAAGGTGTGGAGAGATATTTTTTGTAATGCCACTATCGTCTCCTCATGGCTTTGTCCCTTTTTCTATCTAAAAAATGTATTCTGAAAAGAATACGAAGGCCGCGCTATACAGCAGCAGCTACGTGCACTCAGTCCATCTTTCGGACGACTGTACGGACATATTCTCGTTGTATCTCGGTGCAATGGTAATAAAGCTTATTTTGATTCTGATTAAAAATGCAAACCTCAATAAGTTACACGAGGAAAACAGGATTTGACAAACACAGAGGAAAGCTAAAGCGTGAATATATACAGTGCAAGCTGCTTTAGGTATAAAATGTGAGACAGGCCAATAATGAGTTGCAAGCAGAGACTGATGAGGACATCTTGTGGCTTTATGTGACAATAACCAAAAGAGACAACAAACTAAATTAAAGTCAACTAAATAATCAAAACTAGCAAAAAATAAAAAATAAAAAATAAAATGCAAACTCAAGATCAAAAACCAAACCTTGACTGTGTCCTTACAAGGGCTCACTGTGACATCCTGAATCCAATTAAAATGTATTAGCATTGCCCCACCATATCTTACACATCTTTTTGTCTTCAACCCTAGCTGAAGTTTTTTCTCCCAGAGTCCAGAACCTGAATTTCTAAGACCAGAACTAGAAGCAGAACCTTCGGTTCTCAGCTGCCTGGCCTCTAGATCCAGCTCTCAGTCTTTGTTCAAAGGGGTGCGTGTTTCACTATATAATCATTTGTGCAAAATTCATTCTGCTCATATGTTTTGTAGTTTTTCAACTTGTGTTCTCCTTGCTTTAATTTGTTATTGTAATATTTGTAAAACTTTATCGTTTATGATGGAATAAAATCAAAATAAATTAAACATGGTCATTTTTGCAAGTGCTTTGTCTAATCTGCTTTTTTCTAACAAGGACATTCAACATGTTGTTGGGAAATATATATCTTGTGGGAAACAGGAAAGTTGATTAAACATTGTTCACATAATAAATGATAACTTCCCCTAAACACACACACACACACACACACACACACACACACACAAAAATGAGTCAGCAATAAAGTTATGGATGTACTGAAGGAGCTGTTTGCTGCTAGTGTTGTCACAGAAGTTTTTTTTTAAGTATTTTCTTTGTCTTTTTGAGATTCTCTAAATTTTTATTGTCTTGAACACAATATCCTTGCATTTCATATATATATATATATAGATATAAATATATATTTATATATATATATATATATATATATATATATAAATTGCATTCCTTAAGCCATTTTTGCCCGAGGAATGGAGAAGTGCTGGTGCCCAGTTTTAAGAACAATGATGTACAGAATTGTAGCAACTACAGGGGAATTAAGTTGATGAGTCCCACAATGAAGATCTGGGAGAGAGTTGTGGAAGCAAGACTTAGACAAGAAGTGACTATTTGTGAGCAGCAGTATGGTTTCATGCCAGGAAAGAGCACCACAGGTGCCGTCTTTGCTTTGAGGATGCTGATGGAGAAGTACAGAGAGGGTCAGAAAGAACTCCATTGTGTCATTGTGGATTTAGAAAAAGCATATGACAGGGTGCCGAGGGAGGAGGTGTGGTATTGCATGAGGAAATCTGGAGTGCCAGAGAAGTATGTTAGACTGGTACAGGACATGTATGAGGACAGTAGAACAGTGGTGAGAAGTGCTGTAGGAGTGACAGATAGCTTCAAATTGGAGGTGGGAGTCCATCAAGGATCGGCTCTGAGCCCCTTCTTGTTTGCTCTGGTGATGGACCGACTAACAGATGAGGTCAGGCAGGAATCCCTGTGGACTATGATGTTTGCAGATGACATTGTGATCTGTGGTGAGAAGAGGGGACAGGTGGAAGAAAACTTGGAGAGGTGGTATGCACTTGAAAGAAAAAGAAGAATGAAAGCCAGCCATAGTAAGACAGAGTACATGTGTGTGAGTGAGAGGGAAGCCGGTGAAACAGTGAGGCTACAAGGAGCAGAGGTTACAAAGGTGCAGGACTTCTAGTACTTATGGTCCGCTGTCCAAGAAAATGGGCAATGTGGTAAAGAGGTGAAAAAGAGAGTCCAGGCAGGATGGAGTGGATGGAGAAAAGTTTCAGGAGTGAATTGTGACAAAAGGGTGTCAGCAAGGGTCAAAGGAAAAGTGTACAAGACAGTGGTTAGATCAGCTCTGTTGTTTGGTCTGGTGACAATGGCATTGACAAAAAAACAGGAGAAAGAACTGGAAGTGGCAGAAATGAAGATGATGAGGATCTCCTTAGGAGTGACATGGATGGATAAGATTAGGGATGAGATCATCAGAGGTACAGCACAGGTTGAACAACTGGGAGATAAAGTTAGAGAGGCCAGACTGCGATGTCCAGAGAAGGGACAGTGGGTATATTGGTAGAAGGATGTTAGAAATGCTGCTGCCAGGAAAAAGACAAAGAGGAGAGATATGGATGCATTTAGGGAGGACATGGAGGTAGTTGGAGTGAGGACAGAGGATGCAGAGGACAGAGATGGAGGACGATGACTGACTGTGGAGACCCTGAAGAGGGAAAAGCTGAAAGAAGAAGAAGAAAGAAGAAGACATTCCTTAACTCATTCTCATCTTTAAATGTCATCATACTAGACACTTTAGTTTATAAGTCATTATTCATGTTTTTAAACTTTTTATTCTGGTTTATAGCCAAACTGAACCTTTGAGAATTATGCTGCTGTGGTTCAATGTATTGTTTTGCACTAATAATGGATATCTAAGAGCTTTAGCGTACCGTTGGGCGTTTGTTTAGCATATATCTTAGATCCTTATTCGCTGTTTCTTTTTACATGTTATATTTTTGCTATTGTTGGATGTAATGGGACCCTGTGTACACAATTTCGTTCCACCTCATGTACCACATGTGATGTGAATGACAAAAACGAACATTGAATCCTTGAATTAAATCTACAAATGTGCCTGTAATTAATCTTTACACAACACTTCCCTCTAGTGTTAAATTTATTCATAACAAATTCAGTTTTTCAACAAGAATTCAGGATTTTTCACATTACCTGTACAGTACTGTGGTAAAAAATACTTGTTGCAATTACATGTTCATCATGTTTTGTTTTTTTTTTTATTATTATTTATTGTGTAGGTATGGTTAAAATATTTTTAACAGAACCTCACAATTACACTTGAGCTTTTTTTTTTTTTTTTTATAATATGCTACGGTGGGCGACAGAACCTTTTTGACAGTGTTGCTTTGCAAGATTCATTCAACCTTTATTCAAACAGATTAGTCTCATTGATATGCATGCATATCCCCTCTCAGCAGCTTTAGTTAGCTTAGCTTAGCTAAATAAAACTTATATATAATAATAGAGCATAAATAATAATTAATAAATAATAATAATAACAAAATATTGATAATAATAAATAATTAATTAAGCATACAATTGCGCACCTTATAAAAACAAGAGAATGACAACATGATCCAAAAGTCTTATTTATTTTATCGTTCACATAAAAAAGTATTACAAAAGCGAGAACAACTTTCTAACAGAAGGGATTATTGTTAAATTATATTAGATAAATATAATAAGTGCGCAAAAACACATATCTCATAATAAAAACAAAGTAAAAAAAAAATGAAACAAATCTTAAAACAGACAATGTTTTTAATATCACTTCACGTATTTAGCAAAGCTCATCAGTTGCTCATAAACCAGTGATGCAACGCTAAAGTTTAATATTTCCAGTTCTAATCTGTTTTCAGTGCTTACGTTTCATCAATAAGTCTACACTATGATGACATCATTAAACTGTGAGGTCTACTTTGTCGTAATGTTCCTCGGAGACATACAGACATAAAACTTATATTAAAATAAACAGAATAGCTGCTGCAAACAAAATATAAGCCTTGTCCTATTCGAACAGTCTTGAAATGCACTATCCAAGAGCCCATCCTATGAAAGCTGAGGTACATTTGGCATTTTCTCCCCCATGCATACGTTCATTTTGGGCTGATGCTGATTTTGTGCATCCCCTGATGAACCCAAACCAGAAACATCTGTAAACGTTCTGCCAAAACTGACCTTTTAAAAGCATGCAGTGCGCAGAAAATACAGTACTGTGTGCTACAGTTTCATTTGTTAGGGTACATCACTCCTTTTGTGTACTCTGGAAGCCCTGTTTTTGCTGCGATCCATTTGTTGTAGTTGGTCACCTGCGTGTAAACGCCTGGTTTGTTTACAGCTGCGCAACCGTCTCCCCAACTCACCACCCCAAAGAGAAACATGCGACCGGATGCTTCATAAACCAGTGGGCCCCCGGAGTCCCCCTGTGAGTAAAGGGAAATAGGATTATAAGAATTATAAACTGAATGTTATAACTAGAGAAATCACATTTCCTGTGACAATGCAGTGTGAATGCTTAATGCAGAAGAACGTGCTGAAAAACAGCTGAAATGCAATTAAAAAAACATGATGAAAAGGAACAACAAGCTTAAATTGGCACAAGAAAGCAGAAAAAACACATATTTGCAGAATTAGGTTTAAATGGGCAAAAATACATAAGCACACAAATAAGGAAATCAGCTTAAAATACCTGAAAATAGGAATGAATGACTGCAAAGTAGCTGAAAGGCAGAAAGAAGCATAAAGAGCTGAAATTAGCTAAAAATGTGGAATTAGCTGAAAATGCTAAAATTAGCATAAAACAGCTAAATATAGCTGAAATGGCAGAAAAAGCTGAAACTTACAAGAAAAAGCTGAAACAATCTTAAATTAGCATAAAGAAGTTAATTTGGCTGAAAGTAGAAGAAATTACAACAGAAAACTTGAATTTATCTGAAAACAGCTGAAAATGCTAAAAATGTAGCTGAAAGGGTAGAAAAGCCTAAATTAGCAGAAGAAAGCAGAAAGAACATGATTGCCCAATTAAGCTGAAATAAACTGAAATTAGCACTCTCATTCTCATTCGTGGACATTCTCTGAAAAAAGTTGAAATTAACAACAACAACAAAAACCAATTGAAAGTAGCTAAATAAGCAGAAAGAAACTGAAATACCAGAAGGAAGTGGAGAGAGCACATTTTCACTGAATTAGGTTGAAAAACATTTAAATGAGTGCAAAAATTGTGGAATTTGGTGGAAAAGCTAAAATTAGCATAATTCAGCTAAATCGTAGCTGAAATAGAAGAAAAAGCTGAAACTTGCAGAAATAAGCTAAAAGGAGCATAACAAGCTGAAATTAGCTGAAAGAATCTGAAAGGAGCAAAAAACAGCAGAAAAAACAGCTGAAAGTAGCTGAAAAAAGTTTATGTGTGTACAAGGAAGCTGAAAGAAGGTGAACCCGAACAAAATGTGAAAGGAGCAGTTGCAAACAGATCTAAAGATTTGAAGGATGTCAAATGAGCTCAATTCATTTTCTATGAGGAAAAAAAAAAGAAAAAGGCTAAATATTTCAAAAAGCTTAAGTTGCACCAGTACCAAAAGCCATAGCAGGATTGTCCTGAAAGAGCTGAACATTATGATTCATGATTTTTTGAAATAGCTTGAAAACTGCGGGATGAGAAAGATGCTGAAAAACGTATGGAAGAAAAATGGATGTGAATGCTTCATAAACATTCACACAATAAAACCATTTGTTTTTGTTTTACTGTAGCAGATGCTCAATTTGCTTACTGTGCAGGCATCTATGCTCCAGTCAGGACTCGCAGCGCAGATCATGTTCTTTGTGACAAAATCCTTATAAAGAGGTTCCCGTTTGCATTCAGTCCTGGAGAGCATTCTCACATCAGCCTGTTTCAAGAGCTGTGAGAATGCTGGCGAGTCTGCAGGCAGCACAGTGTCAGGTAAAAATAGCTGCGATGGATAAGTCAGACGTGTTAGCTTTCTTACCATATTTTTGTTTCCCAAATCCTGCGATGCTGAAAGTGATCCCAGGAGGAAGACGAGTATAAAGTGGGGGGAGGCATACTGTCCGCACAGAAGGTGTCTTCACTGCACATGCGCCACTTGTGCTTTTGATCTTCAGCAATGCTGGAACATACAGAGACATGTGAGTTCTGTGCACGGAGAACGTCCCGACTCACAAGGATAAAAGGTTTGACAATTAGGAAACAGCTGAACAGTTGTAGCTTTTTTGGAGTGGTTGCAAGAGAAAGTCTTGTTTCTCAAAAAATAATCTGGCAGAACAACGTAGATTTGTAAATTTTCATTTGAATGAACCACAAGACATCTGCATCAGTGTCCTCAGGACAGGTGAGACCAAAGTAAATGTTCCCCCATAATGCACTGCTTCATGTGTGACGAAAACTAAACACCTGATAATGTCAAGCATGACGGTGGAGGGGTAATGATTTGGGCTGATTTTAAAGCCCATGAATTTGGGTGCCTTACAGTCATTGAGTTAAGCAGAGACTCCTTTATGGATCAAAGTACCGTAGTTTTCGGAATATAAGGCGCTCTTAAAATCCTTACATTTTCTCAAAAATCCACAGTGAGCCTTATAATCCAGTGCACTTTATCTACTAATTCTGGTTGTGCTTACTGACCTCGAACCGATTTTATGTGGTTATTGTGAATGAGATGAATAAAGTTTGACTTATCTGACTGTTTTGTTTTGCTTAATGCGCCTTATGTATGAAAACAGACCCGTTCATTAATATTGCACCTTACATGTATAGTCCAAAAAATATGGTAATCTGGAGTGAAAAGTGAGGTCGTCTGTTGAAGCTTGGACCAAGATGGGCCATGATGCAACAGGACAAGATCCCAAGCACAACAGCTAATCTACAACAAAATGATTGGGTTGAATGGATTGCTTGTAGCTTGATCACACATACACACCGATGTCGTTGTTGTAGTTGCTTTCATCGTAGTCTTCGTGAATGACTAGTTTGTCCACGATGAAGCTCTGCTCCCTGGTGGCATCCGTTTCATTGATGGCCGACTTTCCCAGGTACACAGACATATGTTGGAGTTTGGTGTTCTCTCTGAGCACACACCGGAAGCCAATGATTAAAAAAAAAAAAACCTCTATAAACAGTAAAATTAAAGTATGATGACTTTAGTAGGGGGGGTTAAGTGCAAATGGTGGTGTGTTTAATTCTCACACTTCTGAGAAGCAGTGTGCAGCCGTGAGAACCCAGCAGGGCGAGATGAGAGATCCACCACAAAGGAAGGTGCCACGGTTATGATAGAGAGCAGCAACCCATGGGTGGGACTCTATGGGTGTGAAGGAGCCACCCACGATTTTATTTATCCTGCGCTCAGACCTTTCACCACACGTCCTCACTGTAGGGACAGTGAGAATGAAATTGTGAAGAAAAAAAAGTCAATTCTTATGAGACACCTGGATTTAAAGAAGATTACCTGTATCCACAGGAGGGGGCGATGTGGTTGTTGGCTTTGTCGTTGGTTTGATTGTTGGTTTCACGGTTGGTTTTAAACCTGACATGAAGCAAAAAAACATGTTAAGACAAATCTGAAAATAACATGCAGAGTTTTAGTAATTTAATCCAACCAAAACAATCTTTTAACATAAATCTTACATCTGGGGATATCACAGTATTCTCTTTTAGTCCCTCCTCTCTTTTGTACATAACACCAAGGCTTCAGTCTCTGATCAGGATTCCTAATGTTTAAAACAAAAAACAAACAATAATTTAAAGTGTGATACATTTCCCCAACATGTCAACACGCTGGGATTAAAACATACCGGCAGTAATTATGTCTGCCAATTCCATTGATATCACTCCAAGCATGTTTCACCGAGCTCCACCGGAGACACTTGCGACCATTTGATGACTTTGAAACAAATCCTCTGTAGCTGCTCCCATCTCCAGACAGACACACATCTGCTGCCCACAAACCAAGGACAGGTCAAGAACATTTACTGGATCTGGTCAGGATTAAGATTACTGCCTGGACAGGTGACGTACCGTATTTGTATTTACGAGGACGCTGTGAAAAAGCCTGAGAGGAGAAGAGACAAACCTGTTCACACATTTTCATCCAACCTGTTGAGTTTGCTTCAGAAGTCATGTTGCTTACCATGCAGACACTGACAGCTGCAAGGACGGAGATGATGACGAATAGATTCATCTTCACTTCTGCTTTTGCTTCTGCTTACTGGGGATATTTTTGTCTGAGAATGGACACAAAAAAAATACAGACATGGAACTTCATAATGGAAGTTGAACTGGTGTATGGACCTTATATGGAGCGCTTTCAAAAGCACGCGACAACAAAAGCTGTGATAAAAACGGTGGTTTTGCACATTACTGCTGCAAAACTGCTGCTTTCCTGTGCTTTATCCAAGTTTTTGATGTTTAAATCACTGCAGCGCACGCATTTATTTCACAAATGATGCAATAGCCCAATGTTTTAGAGAGATAGTATCAGTTAATGAGTCTGTTCTGTACTCTCAAGATAGTTTCTATCTGTACATTGAGTACAATATCAATTTAGGTTAGTAGATTACAGTGCACACTATTAGCATCACTCAAATTCAGCGATGCACAAATATCAAGCATTTACTTCCTACATATTTTAGATATGCTTTGTTTACTAGATAATGAAGAAATGGTTGCATTATAAAATATTCTCTTTGGTTAGATTTACTTGCTGAATGCATCTCTCATTTTGCAACGTCACAGATTCCAGTGAGAACTTCTGAAAGAGCAATGTTGCTTGTTAAATTGTGCAGCAAACACATACGTTTTTCAGATTTGCTTACCTTTTTAAAACTCTTTGTTTTTGCCAAAAGAAGCGACTCCTGACTGTTCTCTCTGATACGAAGCGTGATGACCAAACCTCCGGTAGTTCTGTTGTTGCAGTTCTGAGGACTCCTATTAAATAGTCTTTCCACGTCACAAGTAGGAGGCGTTTTCCAGCCCCTCAGAAAGCATCACCTACATCCAATTGATGAGCAAGTCAGACAATTTGTCATGCCGTGTGACAAATGCAGCAGACACCCCCTTCCTCTTAAAGCTGTTTCAGAATATATCCAAAATTGGCAATATGTTGCAATCACCCAACAGAGGAATTGGTTTGAGACTAATATAACACGATTCTACGAGGAGAAGCTGTTTATGAAGAACTAAACATAATTCAGTTATAGGGAGCTCTAAAAATACCCAACCTCTCATATATAAGATATTTTAATTACTATTTCATCATCAAAACTCATCGTGAAGTTTTGAATATATTTAAATTAATTCAAGGGAGCTATGATCTATTCAGAAGGTCAGACAAATATTTTATAGATATGGAACTTTTATGGATAAGAGCTGCCTGTAAATGCATTTTACATTGTTTAAACTATCACGACTACCTGATTATGATTTTTTTTTTGTTTTGTTTAAGCTGAAAAACTCAAACGTTTTAATTGGAAGTAGAACCACTTGCACAGCTTACAACCCCACTTGTCATGGTAGGCGTAGTGTTGAACCCAGAGTGCAGACAGACATGGAGGGACTCGGAGGTGAAATAAAGAAATCAATTTATGTAGCAAAACTTTAAACCAAACAGATGACATGGCAGCAAGAACTTACAAATAAACTGACAGCTATGGGAAGCACAATTCATGGACCGGGTGGAAATGCAAAAATGCTGAATTTAAAGGGGCACTAACAAGACACCATGATGAACACCTGGGGAAAGACAATGATGAACAGATGAGAGGGCAGAAGATGGAGCTCACTACATGAGGAGAAAAACATTAGGAAGGCTGAACACATGACACAAGAAAACACAAAGATCTCAAAACTTAAACACAAGAATCACAAAATCCAAAAAAGTAACAAAACACAGATTCTCACACCACTCTGTTACCCTTCACTGTATTTCTAAAAATTTAAGTAATAAAATTGCCATCATGGTTTTGCTTCTCTAATTGCACCTAAAAAATAAAAATAAACAACTATTTATGCACTTAATTGTATTTTTATTATGCTTAGTTCAACGTTATTTTGTGTGAAAACCAGACCACTTGCTGTTTTCTAGAGATACTAAAGATATTTCTTCAGTAATGAGTACATAAAGTT